GAGCTTACAAATATAATATTTGTAATTTAATTATTTCAAAACCGTTACCTGTTTATGTTTTAAGCCATTCTTTAGTTTGTTAGACAACTAAAAGCACTTTTCTGTGAGTGCAAACCAATTTTGGCAATGAAATTGTTTAAATTCGCTAAAATAATGCAGTTCTGTTTTTCTTAAAAGGAAGTACTCTTCTGTAAGTAAAAATAGTTGTTCAAAAAAATTATTTCAAAAGTTTTGAATAAAACTGAACTCATATTAGCCTTAAATATTTTTAATTATAGACTTTATAAATAATTGCACTACAAACAGAATAGTATTGATATTAACAATTAAAAAAAAAATATAATTAAGAAATATAGAATGTAGAATAACAGCTGGTTTATGATTTCGTTCTAATATAAACACAGCAAGTAAATTTGTTAATAAAACTTTCGCAACAAATTAACAAAACTCCAGAAAAATGTGCGAACATAAAAGTCAAATACGGTTTTGGGTCAGTTGGTTAAGGTGCGTTGACTCTGAGCTTCAGCTTTGGCAGGACACGAGATCGATTGCTGGTACTTGCAGGCTCAAAAAATTATTTCCGAATAATTAAATACAAGAATTATTTCCAAAACCACTGTTGATGGGTATTTGGCAATAATCGAAACAGCTGTATGGTCAACCAAAAAATCAATTAATTAAAAATAATATAAAATTAATTTTTGTTGTTGTAGTTCACTACTGTTCGAAAAACTTCTATATACTTTATATAAATTTAAGTCATGATTTTCTTTTTTAAATATTAAATATTTTTCATGAATTTAAATTTATATAATGGCACGTGCAAAATGATTAAAACACTCTAAAAATTTGAATATATTTTTACAACTACAATAGTTTTACAGTATATTTTTCTTTTTTCATCATTAATTCCACATTCATCATATACATGTTAAACTGAAATTACGAAATTACGAAATTACTTCACTAACCATTCCAAAGGCAAGAGAATATTGCTCATACGCACTGCCATTACAATTTTAATTAAATGTCAAAATGACACGAATTCAATTGTTTCCGTCATTTCTGACAAATACAATAAGCCATTTAACAACTCCCGTGAGAGTCATAGGTCCAGTATCATGCCAAGACAATTGTTACGTCACTAAAACCGTATAAATAGTAGTAAAAAAAAATTAACTACTAAAAATGTTAAAAGAAGAATCATGAAAAAAAACACACACTCCCATACACCCATACAACACATTTTTACACGCATGCAAAATTAGCAGGATAGCAAAGCACAGAAACACCGTCAGCGCAACTAAAACACTTCACTAAGATGCTCTACGCAAAAAAAAGACTGAGAATAGCAACAAATTAACAATGTTTTAATAAAAAAACATGTACTTAGAGAAGAATAAAAATAAAACTTAGAGAAGAATAAAAATAATAAAAATAAAAAAATGAACAAAGTAAAAGCATAAAATATACAATAAAAAATGGACTTACTATGCCATACACACACACACACATGCATAGCTCTGTTTTTTATTTACAATTGAATGAATTACATGGGACATATGCAAGAAAGCGTAAACAACTTCTTCTATATCGCCGCAGTGTAAAATGGTGGCAAGGACAGAGGAAACAAATGTCCACATAAAGCAAAGAGTACTCAGAGGCACAATTGTGGTTTTACAGCCAACTACGCTTTCAAAAAAAGTGCAAGAAGAGGTAGTACTACCATAAGCCGAGTCAGTGACATGTAACTACAAATTTGTGTATGGAAATAAATGGCAGAAGAGAAAAGAAAAGACGAAAATTTAAATTAAGAGTAAATATTTTAATGTATTTTCTCTTCATACATATTATGTGTATGAATTTTAATTGTGTCAAGTGAAAGAGTGATTGCAAGAAAAACAATTTTAATGGAAAACGTCAAAAAATACAAAGTCTCTGAATTTCAAAATATATTTTTTTTTTAAAAAACATTAAATCCCTGATGTGATTAAAAATGTTTTATAATATTGGATAGATGTTTTTTATCAAAAAACAACATACAAGTTAGTTTAAATTAAGAATCACTTTGAAGTCAACAAAAGGTGTACAAATAATATATATTGATAATGTATAAATATATAGTCATATAATATTTATAATATTTAATATATATCATGTATATTCACTGAAATGAAAATGTTTGCATATTTTAATTTTTTTCATTATTTTTATTTTTGAAACGGGATAATTAATCAATTCTTTAAATAAATTCACAAATTTTTTAATTATTTTAAAATGTTTATTTTCTAGTCTATATTCTATAGTCATCTTCAAACTAATTTTTTACAGTAATTTTGTCAAAAAAGATAATTATCGAAGCAATTGTAATTTTACAAAATCAATTTAAAATTTTTGTTAATTGGGAATATTTATTATTATAAATATTAATAATATTTTGATAACTATTTTGCTAATAGAAATTTAAAAAAAACAAGGTAGGAAAACTAGTGCTTATGTACATTCTATGAAACAGAACGCAATTGGTCTTATGTTGAGTATTAAACATACTTTATAAAAAAATATTGGGTTGTCCCAAACTGACATGTGCCCAAACCAATGTCATTGTAATTTTAATGCTTTCTGTCATTTTATGTTAACATGTGCTCGTCTCTTTTTTAAAGCAGAACAAAAAAAACCAACCTCAGAAATACATATTTATACTCATTATGGTGAATAACTTTGAGCCTGCGTGCTCATTTGTTCCACTTTTTAACGTTGCCCACAACTTCACAGCCTCACAGCTTCACAGCTACACAAAAGTTGTTGTACCATTTATGCGCTCACTTAGCGGTGCTTTTACTTTGTACAATGTTTTTCTTCTTATTTTGTTGTTGGTGTTGAAATTATTTTTATAAATATGCAAAAGTGTTTGTGCGTGGCATTTATTAAGTCAAGTTTCGAAATGTGTGGCAATTTGTGTTAGTCCCTGATTTAAATGGCATTTTACTGATAAATACAAAATGGTGGGGGTAGACTTCGTAGCCGTAGTTGTAACAACGCGACAGAGGTTATCAATGAAGGAAAGCCTGAATCGTTGGTTTGTATGCGTGTAAATTTTACTTACGTGTGTTGCCTCAATTTGTTTAGTTCAACATTTTGTTTCTTAACGGAATATTATCGGTTTTGCTGTTGTTGTTGTTATTGCTGTTGTTGCTGGTAGGTACTCTGGCAATGACAGTGGCATTTGAAAATCGCTGCGACGTGTTATGAGTTGTTTCCGTTCTCATCCCACGGTTTCCTTAAACTCAAGCGCACATCAGAGGCGCATAAGTTTACAATTGCTTTTTAACAATATTTTCATCGATTGTGTTCGAAATTTTTGTTTGTGTTTTATCATTTATTGCCAACATTTTATGTTGCCAGCATTTATGTTGCTCAGGGTGTGTGTTTACTTGTGTGTGTGCTTCTACTGAAGTTGCTATTGTCTCTTTGACATTGTTGATAGTTGATAGTTAGCTTTGTTTTTAATATAATAAAAATTGGTAAATAGTGAACTTCAGACAATTTTGAATGAGCGTACGTGTATTATTGTTGTTATTGTTGTAAGTGTTGGTGTTGTGCCCCCGAGTTTTGCTTGAGATTTTTGATGACATTTATGATTGTTATTTTATGGAATTTGTCATTTTATTTTTAATTTTATATGTTGCCACCTTGATCATTTTTAAAATAATTGAAGTTGGAAAAATAATATTTTTTTTTTATTAAGAAGTCAAACAAACTATCATACAAAGGTTTTAAGTTAATATAGAGAATTTCTGCAGAGAAACTGTTTTTTTTCTCTTGCTGTAATTTGGCACTTTGGCTGTTGTTCATTTTAATATACATATGAATTTGAACTAATGGTGCTTTCGTAAATCTGGGGTAATTTTTTTAATCGAGATGCTCTTCTAATGCATTATGCAATTATGCATTATAGAATCTCGAGCAAATTGTATAATACTCGAGATTAATTTATACTACTCTAGATATTTTTCCAGAGTAGCAAGATTGCCCTGAAAACAACAACTTTATTTATATATATGATTCACATATAAACTGTGATTTAATTCGATATATATACAAACAAAATCACAAAAATGTTAGATTACTTTAAAAATGTTCGATTGGGCAACAAAATTTGTCAGATCGAGAGTAAATCTAAATTGAATCCAGACACATCAATCGACAATGCCATTAGTACAGCATTAACTGCTTGCGTAAGAGAACATATTAGTAATTGTAGTGTTTTAAAACATAAAAATATCCGAAAAAGGAGCTTCAGTTTGTGAAGAGACAATTGCAATAACTGTTTTACTGACTTCAGTAAGTGAAATTGAAAATTTTTCAAATTAATATCGCATAAGGTCTATTATCAGTCGCTAATAGAAACTATAATGTCTGGCTCTACAGTGAGTAATCAAGTCTAATTAAATTAGGTGACTCCGGTCGTACCTATTATTCACTAAATAATAAACTATTAAAATGTACATCTAGTTAACTAGTTAACTACATGTTAAGGTTATGCGTAAGACATTAAAATCTGATGTCAATGAAACACGGAATAAAGACTTAGATAGAAATTTGTAATATATGGAACACAAAAGAAGTTATTTTATTCGCCCTATAATCTTTAATGAATATCTTTTGTATTTATTATTATGTTACTGATCAAGATGCAATGATTTATTTATTCGGTTTGCTTTTTTAATGGTGTTATGTTTGTCAATTTAAATTAATACCCAGTCATTGAACCCCATTAAGCACATTTTCGTATAGATGTTGTATGAAAGATGACACATATTGATGCATATTTATCGATTTAAATGCGATAATCTATACATACTGTTCACATATTATTCATTATCCTGATGATGAAACAATTCTGTTTCATTTGAATTAAATTTTAGTTTTACTTACATTCAAACATTTTGTATGCAAATTTAAATAATCTCTATTAATTTGTATTTTATCATTTACAGATATATAAGCTTCTACAATTAACTTCATTAAAACATCAAATAAAATGGCGAAAATGTAGCAAACATGGCACATGTCCTGCGACCAAGCAAAAACGTAAGTACATACGAGTAAATATAGAATCCTTTCAAGTCATTCATGGCAAGGATAAAGCCATGTCGAGCAGCTCAGCCAATTTGACTTCAACTAATAAATTTTGTATTGCCAATACACTCAATTGAATTTGTGCAATTTGTAAGTTGTTGTTGGCAGAATTGAAATGTGTCCTTAGAGTATATTTTCAGCTCCCATTATTGATACACACTTTGGCTCGATAAATTCAGTTTCAAGATTTTGTAGCCAAAAATCTTGTGCATTTCCATTTGTTTTCTGCAGACTTCGACATCAATTCAATGCAATGCGAGTGAATTGACTTTCTTTCAATGCCTGTCACTCGTAACAATTGTCGCATAAAGACAACTATCATTGCCTCTTAACGGAACAACGGAACAATGTCTCTCTGTTATTACTCTGAGTTCTTCTGACTCCTCTTTGATAACAAAATAAACTAATCAAGAATATCGCAAAAAATAATGAAAAAGGAAAAAATATAAATATTGCTGAAATTCCAATATTCATGCACTCTGAACAGCAACATTGTTGGCATTGTCAGTGGCACGAGCAGGAACAACAACAATTGTTGCGACAACAATAGCAACTACAAATGCTACAAATGCAACACAATAGTGTCAACAACAAATATTCATTTTGTCAGATTTGCAATCATATTACACTCCAGGCATTTGCATTGTAACTACCGAGTGACATCAACTCGACAGCCAAGAAGCTCATGTTTTTTTCTCTTGCTAGGCTGGTGGGTTTCTGGTACTGGTACTGGTTCTGGCTCTGGTTATAGTAGCTGCTGGTAGTGTCCATCGCGTATGCTTTATGAGATGTGCTTTAATAATTTTATTGCTATTATGATATGATGATTTTGCCTCCTTCAATCTGAACAGCAAACTCTTTACTGCAAATGCTTAACTACACAAAACATTAACTGCGAACAGCGTCTTTTGTCTTTACGAATCCAGTTCACAGAAACAATTAAATTGCAACTTAATAGTTGAGCATTGCATTTCAAGAAAGAATTATTGAAGTCCTTGTTTATTTATTTTCAGTTATCTTTTCTGATTCTTACAGTTGCAAAAGTTTTTATTGTAAAAATTATTGTTGAAAGAAAAAATATTAATTTTCTGTTCTACTTGAAATTTCCGCTTTCCAGCACAACATCCTCATTTGAAACGAGGTCAGTTCTACTTAATAAGAAATATTTTTTTGTATTTTCAGATTTAGTAGTTAGAAAACAAAGGAAATGTGTAACAGATAAATCAGAATCCAGATAAAAATCAACTTGATTGCTCTCTCTGTCTCTGTGGCACAAAACTTAAAATCCAAATTTAATATCAAACTTAAAAATATGTTGGCAATTAAGTGAGTGAAATACTGAGAATACTGAAGGAACCATAGAATAGTTTTAAAATAGATATATGTGATTAAATGTGTCGGTAAGATATATCGGTATAGATAATATCGTCAAAATTTTGTCACATTTGAAGAAATAGTAGCGTAATTATTGTGTATAAAGTCCCAGTTATAAGGAAAAACCTTTGTTTCGTAAATTTAATTCTTCACAGAAATATTTTTAAATTAATTTTCGTCGAAGTAGCAGGCGTCATACTTCAAACCCTTATAGAGTATAACGATATTTAAGATTGGATTCATTTTTCGAGCCAATAGCACTATATCTCCCACTATTTCTTATGTAGTGAGCTTACTCACTATCTTATAATCAAGACATTGTATATTTTTTGACTTATATTCAAGTTGCTTTTACAAAAATCCTGTTACTGTAACAATTTCCTATCCGGTTAAGACTAGGATGTTCTGTTAGATCTTTAGTGTTTACTACTGATATTTTGCATTTTAATAATAAGTTTAAATGCTCTATATACATATTATATGTATTATTATATATATATTGTCTAAATAGCCAATCTTTTCATATTTTAGGCATACCAATATTGCTTCTGCATGTCAGGGATTTTATTAATCTTCGTAGTAGGTTACGTTAAATTGAGAGGGAGCGTGCTGACAATTAAAAGCACTTCCTCGAAGGCCTATGTTGCCCATTGTGATGCCCTCAAATCTTCGTAGTAAGGTATTATGAAACTTTATGGCTTAACCTTATAACGTGTGGCGGCATCTATTTTCATATTATCACAATTTAGATATTATAGTAAATACTCATTTTTAAATTGATATCACACATTGGAGTATACACAAACACATAGCAAAAGACTTACCCTATATCAATCGAAATATGATTGATATCCTTAATTCAGAACAATGATAAGACATCCAATAAAAATATCTATTGGTAGCTGTATAATCTGTTGATAAAAGCGTAAGTAACCTGCAGATGATATATAATTTATTATTACATATAAGCGGCTTTAATACTATAAGTCCATGATTTGATTTTGTTTTGAATTAGCGTCTGCATATGAAGTTTTTTTTATTAAATATGAGTTCCAAGTATTTGAAGCTGTATGCCGATGCTATATCTTCTTCGGATATCTTCAGTAAATGCGATTTTATTTTTAGATTAGGAAGATATTTAGAAAAGCAAATGATAATTGTTGATGGTTGCTTTATTACACTTGGTAATCAGCTGATACCCTACTATCTTTCGCAATATATTGTTTGCATAAAACTTTGAGATATATTGAAATACCGACTACACAAAATTTATAAGTGCTAAGCTCTATCCCTACTTCAATCGCTTGTTCAATTAAAAAATGATTTTTACCTGAAATACGGAACTTTTCATCATTTAAGAAATCACCCATAGACTTGATTAGTTGAGTTTAAATTCAATACTATTCCATTTTGATTGTGAGTCCTTTAAATTAGGTTACCTTAAATAATGGCCCTCAGTAATGCACAGGATTAGCGTTGTTCAAACACAGACTAGAAGAATCGATTAAAAAACCACAGTAGTCAGCGTGCGAACAATGCTGAAAGATATGACCCCTCTATTCAAGTGAAAATTAACAAAGCTGATAAGTCTACAAACTTGGCTTTGACCTTAATTTAAAAGTATGACCGGTAAGTAGATCGGTAAGAAGAGGGGATCAAAAAATGTTTATTCTTCTGCTAGCTAAAAACGGGTTTTGATAAAGATAGTAAAACATGGCTTCCTCCTCCTCTTCAGAGTCGCAACTGCGAGAATAGTAATTTTAATGTAGACTAAGTCGAATTGCACGTCCTCTTAACACACAGTGATTGGTATATTTCTTGTCAAATTTGAACCAAGTAAGTCCGTGGAAGTTCAGAAAACGCCTCTTAAATTCTAGGTAGAATTAAAAAACAAGAAAACTGAAAATTAGTGTTGCAAATTGAAAATTAAAATTTTTCAATACTTTTGGATAGAGAAGAATATATCTTAATTAAATGATGAAATATTTTACCTACTGCACTACACGGTGTCAAAAACAAACTTACCAATTTCTTTCCAAGAAATGTTTGCAATATACGTACAAATCACTATCTTAAAGCAAAATATCATATAAAACCACTCTAACATTAGATGCAGCAATGTTCCGAATGAGTCTGAGTACGAGCGTATGGCCATTCAATATTTACTAGATATTAGTAAATTAAGTTATCCAGCAATCAAGAGGAAGCAATCTGAAGATGGCCACTTAAAGTATTAATATTAAACACTTGATTACTTGCTTTTATCATTAAAACATTAACATCCTTGGTCGCATTAAAGGACATTATATCTTTTAGAAAATGTAAGCAGTTTTGGACAAAGTTTTTGAAAAGTTATGAAATTTTGAAACGACCAGCACAGCAAGGCTTGTAGTTCCAGCAACTGCAACAAAATTTGCCATTGGGTGTTGCAAGCAAAACTTTATTTCTTACTAAAAATGCATGAAGTGAAGAGTTTACACATGCAAATGAAATAAAACGAAAAACACACAAGTAGCATGCAAAGTGCATCCTTTCACATCCATCCTGTAACCGAGCGAAGAAATGGATGCATGTAACCGAGATCGAGCAAACCTGCTTACTTGTGCTAAACTTCAATTGGGATTAGTACAACAGTTATTTTTGTGTCTTGGTCGTATATTTCGGTAAGCTGTTGGCAGTTTGCAGGAGGAAAATGTAGACACTTTGGCAGTGAAGCACACAATCCCATAATAATGCATTTGGAGGCATAAAAGACAATTTACGTCTCCATAGAGCAAAAAATTTGACCTTATTTATTACTGCAAGCATAGAGTTTGTGGCTTACACATATGTTTACATATGGGAACATTGTTATGGCAATCTAACATAGGATGTTGTCTTTTACGTGATCACGAAGAGATGTGAGAAAAGTGGAATGGGAAATTCGTTTTCAATGTAATGCACCTACCGGATACCTTTGTTGCTTCAATGTGCATTGGAGCATCTTAAAGATAAATGCCTGCACAGGTTATGTAGTCTCATAAATTTTACTGCGGTTAAGCACCAGCACTCGACAGCAATTCGAGACCTTTAAACATTTATGACTGTAATATATTCATCTGTGTGTAGCCTGCATTGTCTCGCAGCCATGACAATGCCCCACATCAGCTGCACAGTTGAGACTTAGCTGCAGCAATTAATCTGCATTAGCGCATATCCAACATTTATTAGCAAAGGATATAACGTACGCCTTTTAAGCATTTAATCAATAAAACCTTTGAAGGCAATAATGTGCCTTTAATTTATTGTCCTTATTGTTTTATGTCCTTGCAGGCACGGCAATCATGGCAGTCATGGCAGCTAATGGCAGCCAATGGCTGTTTTGCATGGTAATGTAAAACTCATTTTAGGTACATTAAGCAATAAGTACGAGAATGCATAAGAATGAAAATTAAATGGGTTTTGATGGAATTGAATTATGTTTAAATGAATGACAATACCTCGCACTATGGAAATGCGGTGTTGATAGCTGAAAATGCATTTATAATATTTCGCTGTTTTAGCATTGAGACGCATGCACCTGCATATAATCCGTTATT